AACAAGGAGAAGAAATACATGCATGAATAGTATGACAGCTGGGAAAAGAGAAATGAAAGTATACTGTTGTGAAATTCTTATACAGGGAATCAGCAGCTAGTGTAATGGCTATGTCGCTGGACTCCCACGTAGTCGACCGCGGTTCGCGTCCCGGACCCGGTGGCTTAAAACTCACGCCGGGCGCGTGTGCATGTGTGCCCAAGATCCCAAGAGGAGAATGGAGGAGAAGGGATTGCGGTGTGACCATCCCCCGTGGGGGGTGATTTCTCGCTTTCTGTCTCTATGCCTCTCTCTGTCTGTCTGGCGAGCGCACACGCCCTATAGCGAAAACCTCTCCAAAAAAAAAAATTCTTCTACATGTACTGATATTGTACTAGATGGCAGGCTGTAATAAATTAAATATGTATTCTATAAACCCTAAAGCAACTACAAAGATAGAGTTATAGTAATAATTCAGTAAAGGAAATAAACTTGAGTTAAAAAAATACTCGATCCAAAAAAAGAAAGAAAAAGAAGAAAACATGAGATGCGACAAATAAAAATCATGTAGCAAAATAATAGATTTAAAGCTAATCATAGAATAATCACATTAAATGTTAATGATCTAAACCAGGGATCAGTATACTTTTTCTACCAATTAGTAAATATTTTTAGTTTATGAAACATATCTCTGTCACAGTCATTCATCTCTGCTATTGTAACATAAAAGCAACCATCAATATGCAGATGAATGGGAATGGCTGTATTTTGTCTCTGGGCCATCATTTGCTAAACCCTGAGCTAAGGGGAGAAATTTTCATATTAGGTAATAATACAAGACCCCATTATAAGTTGTCTATAAGCAATACACTTTAATATAAAGACAAAAAATAGGTTAAAGTAAAGGATGGGTGAAGGAATAGCAAGCTAACACAAATCACAGCTCCAGTAACTACAGTAATACCAAAGTAGACTTCAGAGGAAAGAAATCAGAATATTTAGATTGCCAGAGATAAAGAAGGTAATTTTATAATGATAAAGAAGTCACTTTGCAGGAGGATATAATAATCCTAAATGTTTACTCATCTAATAACTGAGCTTAGAAATACATGAAGAGGTGCCAGCAGATGGCCAGGTGATTAAGGAGCTGGGCACTCCCACATGGCTGACTATGGTTCAAGTCCTGGGCCTAGCAGCTTGCTTTCTGACTTTCTCTCTCTCTCTCTCTCTCTCTCTCTCTCTCTCTCATTTTATTTATCTCTGTGAATTAAAAAAATAATAATAAATAAAATTCCATGACAAATAATACACTCCTTAAGCAAATCATTGTGGGCTCATCATTTTGTTTGAACTAACTAGATCATGGAGCAACCAGTAGAGTCATCTCTCAGTGTAAGGATGTCAGCACATCATTTGACTCTTAGCATCCCATTGCAACTTCCTTAAATGTTTCTAAATCCCAACTGAAGATCATCACTTTGCCTCTATTTTTCTATTTGTGCAAATTAAAACCAAACCAGTAATAGTCAATTGCTCGTCTCTCTTTTGTCTACAATGCTTTTTGTTTTCCACTCTCCATATATGCCTTCCTTTCTTTCCTTTCTCTTTTCAGTAGTTCAAGGAATAGTTCAGGGGCAAGATATCCTTTCTTCCTGACTCAGAACAAAACATTCTGCTCATTCAAGCCATCACTTCTTATCCCTGCATGCTTCCTTTATTTCATCTTCAGCAAGGAACCCTGCTGATATCCTAAATGGCCTCTTGTCCATAATAAGTTTAAGTAATTTCTTTTAGAAAGCTTCTTTTAAAGTTCTCTGTCCTCTAATTTACAGTTTGTCCTGTTTTACCTGGTTTGTGTGCATTCTTGTTCTCTTTGATCAGTCAGTCCATATTTCGAAAGATGTCTTTCTGTCCTAAAGTAGCTATTGTGCTACTTTTTGTATCAATCACACAAGAGATTTGTTTAAACGCTTAATATTTTAGTACTTGAGGACACATTTTTCTTGAGCTTCTCAAACAATGTTTAAATTGTTTTTAAAAAGTGCCAGAGCATCTTTTGAATTGTTAAACCAAATTTTACCTTCCAACTTTTCCAAATGTTTCGCATTTAATTTCTTCTTTTCATATGTTCTTGAATTATCCATGCCAACATGGCTAAAGCATGGTGACCAAATGGGCAAAGTAGTGGAAGTCAGGCTGGAGAAGTCCAGGGCTTCCATAATACAGTGTTCAGATTATGCCCTGCACAAGAGCCCAGGCCAGGGGGGCAAAGGAAGCTGGAATCCAGCCCATAATCTGCTTCCCGAATCCTGTACCTGGCATGAGACTGCTTTCATCTAAGAAGGAGCACTTTGTCAGCTCACACAAAGGTGCCATATGGGCTTCTGGTGACCCAGGAAAAAATCATATACAGGAGTTTTGATTTTATACTAATGCATTGGGAAACTAGTAGGGAATTTAAAAAATCTAATTTATATTCTATAAAGAACACTGTGCTGTGTGTAGCATGGATGTGGAGGGGCAGAAGCGGTGCTAAGGATGCCAGCTGTAGGTAACAGTGGTCAAGACAAGAGTGTGGAAGTAGAGATGCAGAGAAATGGATGGCATCCGGGCATGTTTTGATGGTAAAAGGAACAAGAATTTGTGCTCGACTGGGTATGGAGGGTAACAGAAAGAGATGTTCTCCAGCTATGACTTGAAAAGCTAGCTGGATGATGGTGCTGTGTCCAGATAGGGGAAATGCAGAGGAGAAACAGATTTGGGGAGGGTGTTATTTCAGTGTTTCTGGGCCATACAGTTTATTGGAGACATGGCTGAATCTCCTCAATAGCTACCAGAAGGCAATATCAATATCTAATATTGATATCTAATATGTTACCAATATCTAATATTCACAAAAATATCTCTTCTTTTTCCTGAGTGCTCAAGAGGCTGTCCTTGTCTTTAGCAGTCTGAGGGCAGCTCATTTGAATGATTCTGTAGATTCCTAAAGATCATCGGTAACCTTTTACCCAAACATTCCAGTAATTTATTTTGAGAGGGCCAGAATACCTCCTTGTCTTGAACATAAACGTAATACTTTGCCCTAGGAAAAATGCTCAGCCCTATACCCACTGCAGTAAATCAAGTTGACCCCAAACTCGGATTAGTCTTATTTTTATATTTTAGTTAATTTAAAGGGATTCTTGTAAACTTTCTTAGCAAACTTTCTGTGTCCTGCTACCCTGGTTTCGGTGTTCCCTTGAGAAATTCAGATTAACCACTTTCTGTCTCTTAGTGGCCTGAATCACATAGTCACAGGTTTGATAGATTTTCTCCCAATTTACCTGGCATTTTTCTCCTCTCGTAGTTTATAATCATGGCCCAATGGAAGTCTAGAGCCACCCTGTCACTTGGATCCTGTCTCTGATCTCACTAACAAACTCCCAGGTGTGAATAGCTGGTCCTTGTAGATTCGTTCTCTCTCTTGCTCCAATAGGCAGAGCCAAAACCACTGGAGAGGGATGTTGGCTCAACTAAAGGAAAGACTGCATAATGCAAAGTGGAAATGCCTGCTGGGGCAGGAGTGAGTTATGGTTTCTGGAGGTGTGAGGCACATGGCCGACATTTATTTTGGTGTAGATTCCATAGTAGAGACAGAAGGGTCAGAGCGTGGAAGTAATCTCCACTGACTATTGAATTCCTGCTTGTGCTAAGGCTTTACACAGATGCTTCACCTCATTTAATCCTCATAACGACGCTCAAGGGAACTAGTCATAACCCCACCCGGAGAGGTTATGGTCACAACTTAAGATCACACAGCTAGCAAGTGGTAGAGCCAGGATTTAGAGCCAGGATTTAAAGTCAACTTCATCTGATTCCAGTGTCCTTGTTTATCCTTTCTACAATTCACAGAAGCTTGAGAGACTGAACTATAGGATTTCTAAGTTTCTTTCCAGCACTGATTTTATCTGAGTCAAAATATGGATACAGGCTTCACTATGTTTTCCTTCTATCATCCTTCCAGTCTCTAGCACATTAGAATGATAGTTTATGGCTTTAAAACTTTCTGTGACCTCTATCAAAAAAGGGTCATTTGAAAAATATTAACAATTTACTTTGTATTCCCTCTGAGTTTTCAGCAGAACTTAGTCTAAGGGCCTCACAATCTGTTTTCTTTCTTTCTTTTTTTTCCCTCATATAGGTTGCTAGCAAAGACTGTTTATAATATAAATGTACAGATTACTAAGCATTGTAGTATTTCTGAAACTTGTTATACTATACAGTCCTAATTTCTCTACCAATTTTTTATGTCTTAGAAGGGTTTAAATTTTGGAATCTTTGACTTAGTGTCAATTTTTTTGCCCCAAGTTCTAGTCAGAATATATTTTATTTTATTTTTAAAATCTGCTAGAGGGTTCGTGTGCTTGCAAGAGAGAGACAGAGACTAAGAGAGAAAGCAAGAAAGCACCCCCATGGGGAAGAGGTACACTGAAATCCCTTCTCCTCCATTTCTCCCTCCTGTTGGTATTTTGTGTACACATATGCACCTGGTGTATTTCTCAAGCCACCAAACCCAGGACTCGAATCACATGGTCAACCATGTGAGATCTAGCCACCTTAAGTATCACACTGCAGGCTTGCCCTCTAATACTAAAATTTTTAAAAATAATTTGAAAAGTTAATATTGGCCTAGCTGCAGTGGTGTGGCTACTAAGATGCTGTTTTAAAGACGAATTCATTTTTGTAGGAAAAAATGTCCATATGTAGCTGGATTATATACTGAAACCACATGGGAGATCCGGGTTCGATTCCTGGACCAAACTGAAGGGCAGGCATGGTAGCTCACACCTGTACACCTGTAATCCCAGCAACTGGGAAAGCTGAAGCGGAAGGATCACAACAGTGAGGCCTGGGCTTAAAAAAGATTCATGTTAAAAGTTTTGTTTTGTTTCAAATCAGTTTGAGCATAAGCTTAATATATGTATTTTAAGGTAGAATGATGTGTGTATTATATGTGTGTATTAAATGCTATTTTCTAGATTGAAACTGAACTCTCCAAGGAAAGAGCCCGACACTTAATTGAAGTTGAAGAGAAAGTGCTTCTCTTTAAGGAAGAAGCAAAACTGGAACTTGATATTGAAAAAGAAAGACATCAAGAAATAATCCAGAAGTATAAGAAGGAACAAGAGCAACTACAAATGAAGGTCTGTAATTATGTCCACCATTATTTAATGGATTTGAAACTATAGATATTATTTCCTCCTAAGAATGTTTTAGTAGTTATAACTCCAGTAGTTTTCCTCATGGTCACTGTGCATTGGCTTTAGCCAAAGCTAAAATGCTTTGGCAGGCCAGCAGGTGGCATGGTTGTTGGGGCGCTAGACTCCCATATGACTGACGAAGGTTCCAGTCCCAGACCTGGCAGCTTGCTTTCTCACTTTCTCTCATTCTCCGACTCTCTCTCACATGTGCCCTATAGGAGATTTAAAAATAACAATAAATAAAACTAAGTAAATAATTCTTTTAAAAATAAATAAGTAAATAAAATGCTTTGGCAGTTCTCCAGAATGGAACTGAGATGAAGTATATCAGCATGCACTCCAGCTACATATTTTTTCTACAAAAATGAACTTATCTTTAAAACAGTATGTATTATCTAATTAATATGATGAAATATTCCAATACCTCAAATATCCATCATCAAAAGATAATGAGATATTTTACATATTGTAATTGTGTAAAAGTTCCCTAACAACCAAAGCATATCCTCTTGAATTGCAAATATTTCAAATTCTAAGCATTACTGAATGAAAAAAAATTTTTAAATTATAATCACACTTCCCTAATTTCTTTAATAATGTGTCCTATCCTAAGTATAATTTAAGGTTTTGCTAAGGTTTCCTTGTTTTTATAGGACTTGAACATTGTGTGTGTGTGTATTAATCAAGACCCAGTGGGGAAATCATATTTGAATAAACTCATTAAAAGTCTGTGTTAATTAAGCATTAGCTGAGACCTGAGGCCTCTACATTTGTGTCTGGGAGACAACACATGCATTTCAGCCTTCCGATGTGAACAGGCAGGACCAGCCACACGAGTGTATGACCAGCGTGGTAGCACAGGCCCTACTCAGAAAGGCCTCATGCTTTGGATTTAATGATGTGCAGGTGCTGCCTTGGAATTTTTAATAACTTTATCTTCAACTTCGTGTTTTGTAAGTGGAGTCCTGTTGAAACAAGAGAGGCATGAGCCGTGAGTCTAGAGCCTCAGCTCCCCTCAGCTCCCCTCACCTCCCTGCAGACTGGTCCCCACCTGCCTCTCACTTCCTGGTCCCTAGTGCCCTGAGTTCCACTCAGTCTCGCCCTCCCTTCCTCTCTTACCTCATGACTGCAGCTCAGTCCTGGGTGGCTCAGGGTCCCCTGAAGACAGGCAGCCCTATACTTGCCAGATGGTACCGTTTCTCAAGAGAAGTCATAAGCCTAGATTTTGTAAGTGAAATCTCCTGATTTTTAAATGTTGACTTCCTTTTAAAAAATCAAAAAATATTTGTGTGAGCCTCCTCTTCCCAGGCTAAACTGCTTAGTTTCCATGTCAGCTCTGCGGGGGAGATGGAAAGCACTGTTCAGACCTAGCGGTGACCTTCTGCCCTGCTGAGTTAATTGAAGGAAAAGGAATATTAATTTATAAAATTACTAACTGTAGTGAATAGATTTCTCATAAAAGTTATTTTTATGTAAATATAGCATTTGAAACAAATTTTGGATACTTAACTCTTTTTAAGTAATAGTTTGCAGAGAACTTGGAACTTTTGCCTATGAATATTTTCCAGATTCTTTGTAGGCTAGCTTCCTCTTATGCTAATATTTATATGACAATATCTGTAGCACAAATAACAAGAATACATTTTGTCAAAAGTAACTCTGTTGTGCCTTGCTATTTTTCTGTTCTTTGTTTTGTTGTTTTAAGGAGAAATAAACAGTCCCTGCTGAAGACTTCCATGCCATGAAAAAAAGCTTCTCCCAGTTATCTTCTCATTTATTTACTTAGAGATGCTACCTTGAAGTGCACTGCATTTTTGAAGTATTCTGATATTCTCTAGAATGACACTGTCCATTATGATAGTCACATGTGTCTAATTAAATTAAAATACAATTTAAAATTCAGTCCCTCAGCCCTATACCCCAACCCACATTGCAAGTACGCAGTAGCCAGTGCTGGCCATTGAGGACCTACTGTGTGCCTCTCCTCCCAAGTCAGTGATTAATCAGCGATGGAATACTAGTAGCCATGGTGAGAGCATTTACACTGTGGAAATGAGATGCGAATCTTACCTTGTTTTAGAGTCACCACTGTCCAAAGGCAAATGTGACTACTGGTTACCCTGTTGAATAGCACAGAATATTTTTTATCATCACGAAGTTGAGTTGGGCAATGCTGCCCTTGAAAGGGCAGTGCTTGCGGTATCTCCGGTCATCATATGTGAGGAAAAAAAACTACGTTAAGAGAAAACAGATCAGTATGGAATGAGTAGATTGTGACCGTGGTGCTCCCCTTCCTGCATCCCCAAACATAAGGCATGTGAAGGTTTCAAAGCCACTCTCGTTACATGCAGACAAGCCCCTGATCTACTTGTCAACATTTGAGCTATCCTTGGTAGCTCAATCCAGTCACAAGGATTTATATTTTTTCTTTTAAGAAGTATTTATTTAATTTATTTAGAAGTTTAAAAAAAAATTGCTACAGGCTCACCAGAGAGAGACACAGAGTGAGAAAAAGAGAGAGAGAGAGAAACAGAGAGAGCAAACTACCAGATCCAGAACTAGAACCATGGTCAGCCACGTGGGGAATCCAGTGCCTTAACCACCCAGCTACTTACTGGCCCTGGATTGGTATTTTTCTAAAGGTGCCCAGAGGTGATTAATATGATATCACTTTAGACAGAAAATTAAAAGTCTTTGTCTTAACTTTTAAAAAGAAAATCTTGAAAGCCCACATTTGTCATAGATTTGTTTTTATCTGATCAGAAGAGTGTGTTGATTAATTATAATAAACTTCTTAAAAACCATACCTACAGGCGTCAGCAGGTGGTGTGTTGGTTAAGGCACTGGACTCCCACATGACTGACTGGTTTGAGTCCCAGACCTGGTGACTTACTTTCTCAGCTTCTCTCTCTCTCTCTCTCTGGTGAGCCTGCATGCCCTACAGCAAATTTTAAAATAATAATAATAATAATAATAAATAAAATTAAATAAATAATAAAAAGAATACCTAGATACAATTGCTTACAAACTAACACAAGATTTATTTTACAGATATCTGATTTGATCGCAGGCGCTACAAGAGACCTTAGGCTGGAAGTGACCGCTCTTGAAGAAAAACTCTGTGAATCCCATATCCGACACACAGAAGAATCTGAGTCAAAGGAAAAACAGATTGAAAACCTTAAAAACTTGGTTGCAGAATATGAATCTCGCTTGAAGAAGGAAATTGACAGTAATGATTCCATTTCAGAGAACTTGAGGAAGGAAACTAAGCAGAAGTCAGATGAACTGGAAAGTGTAATGCTTGCACAAGCACAGCTGATACAGCAGCTTAACCAGACCAAGGAAGAGGTAGGAAGCAGGTGATGGTTCCTTTACAATTAGTCGGTCAGTGAAAGGGCACGTGTTCTTTCCAAAACCAAGCACACAAAAATATGAAAAAAAGCCTGGTGTCATGGAAGGAGTCTTGCACTGCTGGTCAGGGACCTGATATCCCATCCGGCCGCGTCCGTAAATAGCGTCAGTGCACGTCTCCAGACCGAGCTTTCTTTTCTGTGAGAGGAATACACTGAGCCACACACTCTTTAGAGTTTCCTCAGTTCCCAGTTTTGTATTGCAAATGACAGTTTAAGACCATTCAGACTAGGAATTTTATATATTTGTCGTCTCGGTTTTATGATCAAATTTTTGCCAAAGAAACGTTTAGAGAGCACTTGCTGCTTAAGTTCAAAAATACTTAGACAATATACTTAAAATATAATTTTACTGTAGGCTTTTACCTTTATGTCAACTTAATTATTTCTTTTGTTTAGATTTTTGCCATGGGGTACATGCACTTGCCTGACAGAAACAGAGAGAGAGAGAAAGTGAGAAATCACCCACCAGGGAGGACAGCCACGCTACAATCCCTTCCGTTTCATTCTCTCCAGATTTTGGGCATGCACACATGTGCACCCACTGTGTTTTTCAAATTTTGGGGTCCAGGACTTAAGCAGTGCAGGAGCCATGTGGGATCCAGCCATCCTAACCACCATACTACCAGCTGGCCCTAGACTTGAAAATTGTTTAATGGAGACACAATCAATCTGTTCTGTAATCATCAATATTATGATATTTTATCCCATTTATAAAAGTATAGCAAATAAAGGCAAATGATTGCTAGCAAAAAGTCATGTGGGGGCCAGCAAGTGGCATAGAGGTTAAGGTGCTGGACTCCTACGTGGTTGATTGTGGTGTGTGTATGCCCAAAATCCCAGGAGAATGAAAGAGAAGGGACTGTGGCATGGCTATCCCACTGGGGGGTGATTTCTCACTTTCCCTGTCACAATCTCTCTCTGGTGAGCATATATGCACTATGGCAAAAAAAGTTATTTTTAAAAAGTCATTCATTTTTGGTTTTACCAATATTTTAATAAAGAAGCAAAAGGAAAATGCTAGTAGTAATATTATTAACAACTAAATATATTATGTTCCTATGTTTAAATTATTAATCAAAATAGAAAGTATGTATCATCATATTAATGATGAGGTGAACCTGAGCATGGGCACCACTGGCTCAATGTCTCTCATGAGGTTAGTGTCCCAGGGTGTCTGCTGAGGCCACAGCCTCACTGGGAGGCTCATTTGAAGGACGATTGGCTTCCAGGCCCAGGTTTTGGCAGAATTCATTTCCACATACACTATTACACTGAAAGTCTCAGCGCCTTGCGGGCTATTGGCCAGAGGTCTCCCTCAGACCCTTGACACATGGACCTCTCCATGAAACTGCTTACAGTGTGGGGGCCAGGAGGTTGACGTGGAGGTTAAGGCACTGGATCCCACATGGCTGACTGTGCGGTTTGAGTCTCAGACCTGGTGACTAGAAAAACAAGCTGCACACGTGTGTGTATATGCCCAAAATCTCAAGAGCAGAATAGAGGAGAAGGGACCGTGGTGTGGCCACCTCCTAGGTGGGGATTTCTCATTTGACTTCACTCGCTCGCTCTCTCAGGCAAATCCACATACCCTATGGGGTGGGGTGGGGAGGAATCTAAAGGAAAACAAACAAAGAAACAGCTCACAGTGTGTCAGTCAGCTTCCTACAGGACAAGCAGGCTAGAAGAAAGGCTATGAAGACACAACCTCGCTCTTTTTATAATTTAATCTCAGAACTGATATCCCATAGTTTTTGCTGTATTCTGTTTATTACAAATGAGTCAGTAAGTCCAACTCGAGGGGAAGCGATTTCACAAGGGTGTAAATACCAGGAGGGCAGGGATCATCGGGGGCCATTATAAAGGCTTCAAATCTCAGGGCCTCTGGAGGAGATTTTAGCAAGAGAAACTAGACTAAAAGTGAAGATTCTTTATTGGACAGAGGAGCTTCATTCAGAGACCTTCCTGCTTATTTGTTGTGAAAGGAAACCACCTAAAAATGAAGTGGGTTTTTTTGTTTATAATGTAGATTTTTGAAAGGTTTATGACATTGGGTTGGTGTATAAGTGTGCATGGATCATTACTAGAGAGGAGAAAAGCATCATCCCAAAAGTAGAGAAAGGCTAATTAAGGATATGCTGTGGGGGCAGGGCTTCATTTTGTGGACCACAGAATGAATTTTCCATTAGAAGTTACCAGAATGATCACCTCAAAGTAATGTGGCCCAGCCACAGTGGCAAAGGTGTTAGGGTACTCCCACACTGTTCGGGAACCCAATAGGAAGGCCCAGGGTTCAGATCCTGGGTTGATCTGAGCATGCAGGGTGCACCCATGATCCTGCTGGCTGGACAGCTGGGACAGGACCAGAGATGTCCCGTATGATGAGACCCTGTCAGGGCTCCCTGTCTGCTTGCCTCTTTCTCATGAAAGAAAGGAAAGGTTTTTGTTTTGTTTTATTTAAAATAATTAGAACCAAACTATAGGAGTAAATAATGAAAGCTACTTCTCTAGTTAAGCATGCTAAAGTCCAGAATATACATATAAAAATAGGAATTGAGCCAATAAAAGTGGTAAGATTTATGAGCCAGGAAGAACAGAGGTCGTAACATGTAATGTGAAAAGCACTACTTTTTTCTTTTTTGATTGTGCATTCCAGACACTTGAAATTTCTCAGATTCTGAGGAAATAAAGGTTCATTTAAGTGGAGAACAAATTCCCATTAGAATGTAGATAAATTAAAGTCTAATGAGGAGACTAATTAGGGGAGGAAAGTCTTGTTCTCTTTCAAGAGGCCAAAGAGTGGGTGGACTTTGTTTTTAATTGGATGGAGAAAGTTCTCAAGGATAGGAGGAAAGCCAAAGCCTCTAAAAGGCAAAATGGTCCTTCCGAAGTGGGGCAGGCGTTGTTGGAGAGTGTCTGCACAATGGCCAGGGTCAGGAGGTGGAGCAACAAAAGGTGCAGGTCAATAGGGGAGGACACTGGGCAAGGAAACTGTGTTGGCAATGTAAATGTGAACAGGGAGCCCTGAAAATTCTTGGTGGGGAAGACACACACATTAAAAAGTTAGAGTATCAAAAATCCCGAAAGAGAAGAGAAAGTGAAAAGAAAAAGTTACCGTACTGGAGAACAGCACATTATCATTAAAACCAAGCTAAAACCGATCACATGCTTCTTGGTCATTAGTTCTACGTGAGTCCCATCCAGATAGCAAGTGCTCACTGGTAAGGGCCTTGTGATCCAGAGAAGAATGTAGTCAGTTAGAACAAACAAACAAACAAAAGCAGCTCACTCACAATTGCAGAAGGAGAAGGAAAATCAATATACAGAGTTTAACATGTTTGTTGCTTTAAGACCACAGATAAAGCAGAAAGGGGCAGGGGGGCAGAAGCTCCTGTAGCCATGTAATAAAGATGAAAGATATATAAAACTAGAAAATAATGCTTTGTTAAACATGAAGAATTGGATTATATATGTTTATCTTTTCTTCACCCCAAATGCTACTACTGTGGTAATAAATTAATAAAAAGTGAATAAATACAAGAGAACAGAGAACAAGAGAGGAGCTAACTCTTAAGTTTGTCCACCAAAAATATGTGGACAAAATTTGGGAAAATGGAAAGCAAGTGACTAAGAGGCAACTGACTTAGCAGAAACAGAATATTAAAACCTGGAACCAGCTGATGACATAATGGTTATGTCACTAGACTCCCATGTAGTCAACTGAGGTTCAAGTCTCAGACCAGGTGGCTAAAAACTCACTCCGGGCATATGAAAGTGTGCCCAAAATCTGGAGATGAGAATGGAGGAAAAGGGATTAGAGTGTGGCCATCCCCCTAGGGGGTGATTTCTTGCTTTCTGTCTTTCTTCTCTCTCTCTCTCTCTCTAGCAGCGAGTGCATGCTCCCTATAGCTCTAATCTAATCTCTCAAGAAAAAAGGAAAAAAAAAAACAAAAAAAAAACCTGATGGCTGTGGAGGATCAGGGTGGGGGATCCAAAATGGAGCAAACCTAATTATGTGACATAACACTAGAGAGGCCCAGGAATTGGAGATACCAGTTACCTTGGAAAGAGAGACTGAAGACTGGAGCTGAAGACAGGATTGTTTGAAGGTGTGTGAACGTTCTCAATATTATTAGATCCTCGCATGCCCTCATTGGTCCCTCACAGCCCCTAGCCACCATCCTGGCAGCATTTCCCAAGGTTCAGTCTCTACCAAACTGAATGGGAGAAGCGCTGGACCCCGCAGTACAAGACAGCAGAGTATGGGATAAAGCAAGAGCAGGCGTGAACATCCCCAGAGTAGTAAGCACACTGCTCAGGACACGGGCAACCAGGCCTATTTACTAATAGCCAAGAAATTGAAAGAGCCCTCCCTGGAGAAATGAGCTGCCTCAAAAGAAAAGACCTATGGACTCTGACAGTTGGGATATCCCAGTGAAGTGGCTCTATCCATTCTAATCGATCTACTCAAGCATACCGGCCAGCACACCCTACCCAGGCACACAGAGCTCCCAGTGACATTCTGGAGACTTCTTTTTAAACATAAACAGTCAAGAATGTCCAAATATTTGAAGAACATCTCTTACATGAAGGACAGAAACCAGAAACAAAGAAATTCAAAAAAAAAAAACCTAGGAGAAATAGAGGTAAACAAAAGAAATCAAAAGAGAGCTTCAGAAAAAAGGTATAATTCATATCCTCAGAAAGAAAGAGGTGATATTTTATCTGTTAAGCATGAGCAGGAGGCTATGAGAAAAAAAGAACAAGAATTAGTAAGCACAAGAGCCAAGGATTTTGTTTTTGCTTTTTAACCAATCTTTGGTTTAGATGATAAAGATGAGAAATCTCCCAGAAAGGAGACGGAAAAAGCAAAGAAATGGAGAGAAGAAAATAAAATTCGAGGATGAAGCCAGGACATCTGAACCTTAACAGAAGTTC